AATTTATTTTTTAAAAATTAATATATACAATATACAATATTAAATTTCTTACTTTTGTTTTAAATGATTTATTTACTAAAACATCCAAAGGTTGTAGACGAGATGTTAATCCTTTAGGAATAATAGCAAGATTGGTATTTTTTCGTCAAAACACCTTTTTACAGAATTAATAAGATGTGCAGAAAATGAATCTAAAACTAACAATGATTGTGGATTTGAAAGTCTTGCACGTTTCATCCAAACATTTTTAATCTAATAAAGCATCTCATTTTTATTTATACATCTAGTTGGATCAACTTAAACAATAACTTCTTGTGAAAAATTACCTTGCAGAACTTTTTTAAGTTTGAAAATTACAAGAGAAGGAAGTTTAATTTTATCAGCCATACAAGTTAAAACTACTGTAAAATTAGTTTTTTCATGTCCTGTTATATGAATGCTAATAGATCACATTTCTGTTTTATTAATAGTAATATTATTTAGCAAATCAAATATTATTAGAGTTTCATTCATATTGCTAATTAATGCTAAAGGATAATTATGCTAAATGCGTTTATACATAATAAATGCCAAAAATTCCTATTGCTTTTCAATTAGATCATCTGGTAAACATTATGCAATAGTAGTATGATAATGATTACTTAGATTATTGTAACTCATTAAACTATCCACCTATTTGTTACTAAAAGCAAAAGATTAAATATTAGGATATATAGCTTGCCATTGACTTTGTTGTGTAAATATTTTGCCTTTCAATTGTATCATACTTCGCGAAACTGTTTGCTGATTATTTCTTCTTTCTTTATCTATTCAACTCAAGCAGTTTCTAAAGCAGGATATTTTAGAGGTGAACCTTTATTTAACTATTTTAAACCTGGTTGAGTCTTTAAAAGTTGTGATTTTTTAGATATTCAGTTCCGAAGTTGCTTTGTTTCAATATTAAATTTAGCTGTAGTCTTATTTTTTGCTATGACCATTTTTATAATATAAAATAACTGCTATTTTTTTATGTGCATTCTATTGCCTTCATACCTTTTCTGTTACAGTTACATGATTTGTTCTTATTTGCACACAGACCTATTAAAAAAAAGAAAAATTTAAGTTGTTTAAGTTGTGCAAGTTGTAAAAAGTTGAAAAAAAACGTGAAAAAAGTTATAAATAAAAAAATTGCATATCTTATTTAACAAAAAATTTCAATAATAATCATTTGATTATTTGAATCGTGAATTGTTAAAATATAAAAAATAAATTTTTAAAATATACTTTTAATAGTTTTTTTAGCATTAGTTTTTGTTAATTTTAATATTAAAAAATTTATTTGAATGCTTAAAATAAAGTATTAAAATCATTTTTTAAAAAAGAATTATTTATTTTGAATTTCTAAACTTGAAATGCTAAGAAAGAAAAAACTTTTTTTTTATTTTTCTTTACTTTTTTTTTTCTTATGGTAGATTATCTAAACTAATTAGTGCACCCTTTTCAGTATACCCCTTAGTATAGTACTTTACCCCTTACACAGTATCCCTGGAGGTACTATTCAAGCTAATCTGATATTTTTAATTAAGACCAGGGATACTGTATACAGTGCTATATGGTAGTAATCTTATCATAACTTTATTGAGTAATATATCTAATTCTAAAGGGACTTCTTCAATATCATTTCAAAAGATTCTTCATCATTCTCATCGTTTTCATTATCATTGGATCATAATCAACCTTTATCGAGCAATATAACTTCTAGCTCATCAAGTGCATTGGAAATACAAAACCATATATATGAAATAGATGAATGTGAAAAAATTAATTATTATGCTACTATCTAGGTAAACCGTTTATATAAATAAAGCGTACTGCTGATAATAAAATAAATTTACGCAAAGTTCAAGATTGGTTAAAAAATCTTGAAGACAATCTTTTATAAGCTAAAAGAATAATAGCTGGGCGTGATAAAGAATTACAAGATATCTAAAATGCTTTAGAAGACATAGAAACTCTAAATGGAATATTACAAGAGGATCTTGCTAGAATAATAAAAAAGCCTTAATCACTTTCTAGGGCTCCTCTAGTAAAAGAATTTTTATTAGAACATTATAAGAAGAATTTAACCAATCTATTAAGTATTATTGCAATTTAAGTAAGTAATTTGATGAGGATTTATCGGCTAATATTCTATCTTTAATACTACTTTCAGTAGAACTAAAAGAAAACTTATTTCCTCAAGAGGTTTGCAGATTATTAAGAAAGAGTATGAGAAAACTTTAAAGACTATAGGCTTTGCTAATACTGTGAAAAAAAGAGTTTAAGAATTGACATGAGTTATATATAGTAGAAGTCCTTCTCCTTCTCCTAAAATGTCAAGTTCTCGTTTAAAATTTGATAATGAGATTTTAGGTAATTTAGAGGATAATACTGATGTTTTGGAAGATTCTATGCCTGATTTTCCATTCTATAATAAAGATATAGGAGCTACTAATAATCGGCTAGAAGAGGAGAAAGTTAGATTACTTTGAGAAAATACTTACCTTATTTTTATTTCTTGATTTCAGATTTGCAAGGCTAGAACAGTATAAGATTTATGGGTTAATATAAGGAGAGATAATTGATAACTGAATGTTTAACTGCGTGAATGTCAAGGTGACAAAGAAGTACTAGAATATAATCAAGATCAGCTTTTTGATAGATATGAGAAATGGAAAAATAAAACACAAAGAATGCTAAATAATATTTAATTTATAAGGAGAAATTTTAGCATTACAGAATAATCTACTAAATATATCAGAAATAGTAGAATACAGACTTCTAATATTTTATGATAATTCTGGAGAGGATTCAGAAGATTAGTTTAAAGACATATAAAGATATACACTACTCTATCAAAAGTATCTAGTCAATCAATTTAAAAATTATATTTTATTATAATATTATAAATTTTTAATATTTAGTTGGCTATCTTTGACTTTCAATACATGCTTCTATCTGATGTAATATGCTTTCAATTAAATTAATATAAGTTTTGGATAGAATTTTTTTCCATTCTTCTTATAATACTTTTTCGAGTTCATATAAATTTTTTGGATATTCCGATCATTTTCAAAGTCTTCGTTCTAGTTCATATCACAAATATTCAATAGGATTAAGGTTTGGAGATTGAGAAGGCTAATTTGAAAGAATCTTAATCTTTTTCTTTATAATCCAATTTTTGACATCCCTTGTAGTATAAATAGGAGCATTATCATCCTAAAATGCATAAGGCTGTTTACGATATTTAGAATGGATGAATGATAATAAATTTTTTTCTAAAATATCAATGTAACCAAATCTATTTATTTTACCATCTACTTTTACCAATGGTCCCAATTCTTTTCCTGAAAATATCTCCATACCATAACATCTCCACTACCATGTTTAACCGTTGGTGTTAAATTCTTAATATTGTATCGGGTTCCATCTTTTTGCTAAACACGAACAGGATCATTATTTTGAAAAAGAGTAAATCTAAACTCATCACTTCAGATGACAGTTTTCCACTGTCTAACTGACCAATATTGTCATTTCATACACTATGGCAATTATTTTTCACGTTAGGCTTCAGTAAGAAGTAGTTTTGGCACAGAAACCTGTGAATTAATCCCTATTTGATGAAGGTTTTACGAATGATTACAGCTGAAATTTTTTATCTTGTGAACTATTAAATTTTTGTTAAATTTCTTTAAGAGAAAGTCGATTGTTTTTTTGACAATTTTTAAAAGGTTATAACGATCATCATTATTCATGAAACATGGTCCTCCAGTTCTTTTAGCTGTTAATCCATTGTTGAGATTTTTGTATCGAGAAATTGTATCTGTAATAGTATTTTTTGGAATTTTTAAGACATGACTAATGGCTTCATGAGTCCTTCCTCCTATCTAAAGTCCAATAACTTTTTCATGCTTAAATTCATTTAATTCGTGATTTTTTCCTATGCTTCAAAGACGCAGTAAAAAGTTAAAGATCATCACTATGTAAAATTGATCATTGTTTTTATTTTTATTGCTAAATTTGATGTATACATCATAACAAAAAACAAATACATAAATTTTATTTTTTAGAACTGGAGCATTTATTTAAAAAAAAATTTATATTAATTAATATATCTGATCTCAAAATAATCAAAAAGAGCTTGACCAGATACTTTTGATAGGGTAGTATATAATAGCTAGTTGAATAAATGTTGCATCTGGTGCAGATCAAGTTGCTAGAAGAAAAAAAGACATTTGGATTAGTAGTATCATATCTTGTAGGTGATGCATTAAATTTTTATTTAACTCACATTAAAGGCAAGAATTGGAGATGTATAATCTCTCAGACAACTTAGGTGTAGCAGACTTAAATGCTGTTCAAATAATAGGAGTTGGAAAATGATAATAATCAAATTAATAATTTGAATATTACTGGAGAATTTTAAGGTAAAGCGAGAGCTGAAATTGGTAAAATTGAAGTAGGGATCACAACTAGTACTAATATTATTCTAAATAGAATGTGGAATAAAGACTAGTCTATAGTTGGTAGTAAACCTATAGATAATGCATCAGTAGCATCTAATGTTAGAGATGGTTTTCCTGCTGTTACTATTACTTTTAGTATTAAGCTTGGTCAACTTCTTTACCTATTTAAAACTGCTTATATAACAGTTGAGCATTTAAAACAAATAGCAGTATTTGATCAACTCATACATGGTGATTTGTCAGTTAAGCAATTCTCCACTAAAATTAAAAAAATTGGTAAATTAGCTGAAATGATTAAAGCTTCAAACGGTTTAGATTAATCTAAAAATTTTTGGTTCAGATTAACTTCAGTTCAGTTTCAGATTGCAAAAAATTCAATCCAAAATTTTTAGTTCAATTCAGATTTTTTGAATTATAAATTTAATCTGAACTGAAAAAAATTCAAACTGAACTGAAAATTTCAGATTAATCTGAAATTTCAGATTATTTGAAATGATTAAATTTATCATTCTTTTAGAATGATTGTAGTTATTATTTCAAATGAACAATAAGAAAATTGTTCAATTGAAATAATTAAATTATCATTCTAAAAGAATAATTAAAGTTATCATTCTAAACAAATGATAAAAGAATCGTTTGATTGGAACAATTAAACTATCTTTTCAAAAGAATGATAAAAGAATCATTTGATTGGAATGATTAAATTATTATTTCAAAAGAACGATAAAAGAAGTTATCATTTCAAACGAACGATAAAAAAATGGTTTAATTAGAATGATGAAATTATAATTTCAAACAAACAATAAAAAATTCATTCAATTGGAATAAAAGAATCATTTAATTGGAATGATAAAATTATCATTTTAAACGAATGATAAAAGAATCATTTGATTGGAATGATAAAATTATCATTTCAAACGAATAATAAAATAATTGTTCAATTGAAATGATGAAATTATCGTTCTAAACAAACGATAAAAGAATTATTTATTTGGAATGATTGAAGTTATTGATTTAAATAAATGATAAAAAATTGTTCAATTAGAATGATTAAATTATTATTCTAAAAGAACGATAAAAAAATCATTCATTTGGAATAATTAAAGTTATCATTTCAAATGAATAATAAGAAAATCGTTCAATTAGAATGATGAAATTATCGTTCCAAATGAACGATAAAAAAATCGTTCAATTGGAATGATGAAATTATCATTTCAAACGAATGATAAGAAAATCGTTCAATTGGAATGATGAAATTATCATTTCAAATGAATGATAAGAAAATCATTCAATTGAAATAATAAAATTATCATTCTAAATGAATGATAAAAGAATTGTTCGAATAGAATGATAAAATTATTGTTCCAAATGAACAATAAAAGAATTATTTATTTGGAACGATAGAAGTTATCATTTTAAACGAACGATAAAAAATTATTTGATTAAAACGATTAAATTATCATTCTAAAAGAACGATAAAAAAATCGTTCATTTAGAACGATTGAAGTTATCATTTCAAATGAACGATAAGAAAATTGTTCAATTGAAATGATTAAATTATTATTTTAAAAAAATAATAAAAGGATTGTTTGATTGAAACAAAGAAATATCATTCTAAACGATCTAAAATTTCAGATTAATCTAAAATTTTCAGTTCAGTTCAGATTTTACTAGTTTACGGTTCAATTAAGTTTTGGATTAGCATTTTTAAGATTTATAATCTGAACTGAACTGAACCAAAATTTTTGGTTCAGTTTCAGATTGACCTATAATCTGGACTGAACTGAACTATTTAAAGCATTAGAAATGACTCCTAAACAGTAAAAAGAGCAATTTATTTGTGATCTGTCTCTGATGAACAATACAATCTTCGAATATTGTAAATAGTTAACTAAAGTACCCTAGATACGATACAAATTCTCAAATTTTGAAGGATACAATATTATAAGGGATACTTTGATCAAGGAAGAGGATACAAGCAAATTTGCTAAAACTAATAAAAATATAATAAATTTTTATGTATTAAAAATTTGTCAAAAATTTTTTTGACGCCATTTCGATTTGAAAATTTAAATTTTTTTTCTTTTTAAACCTTGTTTTTCTCTTTAATTAACAAAATCTAAATCGTTTAAAACAGCCAAATTTGATAGTTTCTCTTAACTAATCTAAAAAAATAAGCCGATGAGTAATTCAAAAAAAAAAATTTAATATTACTGATGAACTCTAATAGAATCAGATGCTACTTTTTGAGAGGATGTGATTAGAGAATTCTAGTCATGAGTTTTAAGATTAAAATCAATATTAGATCAGAATATAATATGTAATAAATTAATTTTACAGTTTTTTTCTAACACGTTCTTTCAAAAAACTTTGATACAAACTCTTTTTCTTAAAAGTAAAATGGTAGTACATCGTAGTAAAAGTTTTTACAAAAAATTTCATATTACTCTAAAGAAAAAAAGGCAATAGTATGCAAGAGAGAAGTTACTTATTATCCATTATGCTAAACAATGTGAAAGTAATAAGTTAGCGGCTAAAAAATTTAATATTGAACCTAAACAAATACGATATTAGAAAAACCAAAAAAAATAATTAAAAAATGCAGCTTCTTATATTCAAAAATTGCATAGAGGAAGGGAAGCATATCTTATTGAACTTGAAAAAAGTTTGTCTTTATGGGTAACAGAAATACGTCAAGTAATAAAAGCCATTACGCGAAATATGATTATTTGAAAGACTAAATTTATAACTAAAGATTATCTTAATCTTCAAATGCATGGTTAGAAGATTTTATAAAAAGATTTAATTTTGCAATACGTTAATGAACTTATATTGCGTAATATCTTCCAGATGATCTTTTACAAAAATAATAAAGTTTTCTTAGTTTTATTTTATATCAAAGAATTTAATATGATTATCCTTTAAAATATATTAGTAATATGGATAAGACTCCAGTTACTTTTGATTTACCTTCAAATATAATATTGAATCAATGCGGTACTTTGACAGTAACTATTCGTATAACTGATTATGAAAAAACTCATTTTACTGTTATTTTATCATGTTTAATTGATAATATTAAACTTCCAGCTACTTGTATTTTTAAATTGAAAAATATTCTAAAAGAGTAATTTCCTCAAGATATTAATATTTGTGTAAATGAAAAAGGATGGATGAATAAAAATAAAATGTTATGATGGATTGAAAATATATAGAATTAACGTAATCCGTTAAGTAACCCTTGATTTCTTTTAGTTTTGAATGCTTTTAGAGAGCATTTAGTTAATTCTGTTAAAAATAGATTTGTTGAAAAACAAATAAATATAGCAGTAATTTCAGATGGTTTAACTAGTAAGTTTCAACCATTGGATGTCTCTATTAATAAAAATTTTAAATCTAAATTGAGACAATACTATCAAGATTGGATGGCTTTAGAAATGCATCAATTAACACCAGAGGACATATTAAAAAACCATCCTATTCTACAATCGCTAAATGGGTTATAGACTCATTATAGATGAGGGATGAAATCTTTTAATAATAGTCAAAACTTAGACGAAATTATATTAAAATCATAATAAGGGATACGATGAAATCCATTTGATATGACAAAAGCTGAAACTGTTAAAACTATATTAAAAATATAGAAAAGGGTATGACGAAATTATTTTGAGGACTTTTCGGCAGGCATCTATAGGACTCATAGAATAATGTTAATACTATTTTAATTTGCAAATTATTCAAATGTTGTAGAATATCAGTAACTAGAGATGAAAATGAGGATCATTTATTACTTGATTATGATTCTTTAACTAAAAAAAATAAAAAAAAAAAATAATAGAGAAAATGATATTTATCATAAAGATGAAGTAGAAATTAGTAAGTTAGATAATGAGCTTGAAAATGATTTATCATTAGAAGATTTAGAGTTCAATAGATATGATGAAGAATTATCAAATTATGAAAATGTTTGAAATTAGTTTTTTTTTGAATTTTTTTTTGTATTAATTTTTACATATATCAAATAAATCAAATTTTATATTTAAATAAATTTTTTAATCAAAGTATTATATCCTTGGATATGATATATTTTTTTAAAAATAAAATTTAAAACTTTGGTATTTTGTATCTGAGGTATAATACATTTTTTGCCACTAAAAATGCTAGAAAAATACAATATTTAAGGGGGTACTTTAGTCGACCGTTTACAGTAATAGTCAAATTTTATGATATCTAGGATAATATTACAGAAGCATTAGCTATAATGAAAAAATTTACATTATTTCAATAGAATGCATCATTTTCTTTTATAATTTTTCTGGTGACCAATCTATACGCAGATATTAATAGATCAGAGATGACTAAAAATGAAATCAAGAGCTTGGTAAAAAATATAATAGCATTCTCAGAACTTCAATAGCCTTAACAAGTAGCTTCATTACAATTTCAACCACATTCTGCAGGAATGCATAAAAATTTATAAGATGAAAATATAGGTAGATTTTTATCATAGATTACAGGAGAAACTCCAGAATTTGTTCCTATTCCTAATCCTACTTTATCACTAAAGCTAAAGAAAAAGGTTGAAATAGATTCTGATGATGAACTTGCTGAGCTTACAAAAAACAGTTAAACTTACATTTAACTAGAGCCATTAAAAAGGTCATAAAATCATAATATAAATATTCTATTTGTAATAAGACTAGGCATAATTTTCACAAATGTTTTCGAAAGAAGAAAAATAAAAATAAAAAGTCTAAAAAAGGTAAAGATAATCTCACTTTAAATCCAAACTTAGATTTGAATTCAGATTTTTTTTTCAAACAATATCTCATCTAGTGATAGTTCTGATTTTGATTCAAATTCTAATTCTAATTCTTCAGATTTTGAAGGTGAGCTTAATATTAATAATTAAAACAAAAAAAAAAGTAAAGTGAAAGTCTAGCCTTAAGAAATTATTCTCAAAGAAGTAGTCTAAAAAAATCTAAGTCATATAAATCTGTTAAGCAAACTGATAAGACAGATATTGAAAAGCCTGTAGTTAATTCTGATAAGGCTAAATAAAATAAACAAAATACTTTAGAAGGATACAATCTATAAGATCATTTAAAGTGAACTTAAATTAATTTTTTTCGCATTTATTACCTAAGATTCTAAAGCTGATACACTAAAACAAGCATTTCCTATTCAGGAAAAGATAGAATTCCAGAGTAATGAGACCTCAATTATTAAAGATATCTTTCTAATATAACAGAAAATGGTATTTATATATATGCAAATTTTATAATAAAGATTATATTAAATATAAATCTAAGTCACAGATATTACGTGATATACAAATATATGTGTAATCTAAGATTTTATAATACCCCCTGGCTATCCCAACCCTCTAAAATATTAGGTAATATATGTTACTGCTCTAATCATGTTTTTGATTTAAAATATCTTTAACTCATTCAAATATTAAGCGAATTAATTTTTCACAAATATCAATTTTAATATTATTTTATTTTATTTATATTTTTTTCTATAATTTAATTTATTTTTAATTAGTTTATTAATCTTTTACAAATATTTTTCTACTTCATTTTATATATATTTAATCAGATTTAAATCAGGCGATTTAGTAGGCTAATTAAAAATAATATTATAAAATTGTAACCAGTCTTTAATTTTTTATACTTTATGTTTCAGATCATTACTTTATTAAATAATATATCTGAAATATTTATATCATAATATTTTAAGTTTTTAAAAAATCATCATTTTAAAATTTGACAATATAATTCAACATTTAAACTACCATTAATTTGATACAAATATCTGATTTCTTTAAATGTAAAATAACTCTATATAAAATTTCTTCTTTGCTAAATTTTATTATTCTTTGTATATAATTATCTTTTAATAGTTCACTAAACCTTTTTAGCAATATTGTTTTTTATCAGATTTAAAAAGGTTGAATTTATTTTTATTTGATCAAGCATTTTTATTCCAATCATTATAATTTTAACTTTATATTTTTTTGCAAAATCATCATGTTTTTTTATATTAATATAATAAAAAGACTTCTTTACTTTACAGTTGATTTAAAATTATTATTTTTAAATATTTTTCATACTATTTGTGAAGAAATTTTAATATTATAATTGATCTTTTATTTTTTATACTTGTATTGTGATAGAATATTTTTTGCTAAAAAATATATTTTACAATATATTATTATTCAAATTTTTTAATTTTTCAAGGTTGTTCAGTTTTTAGTAGATCTTTTGTAGATTTATTTTCTTATTTTTTATTATATAATCATATTATTATACTAATACTAACTTTATATTTTTTGTTAGTTTGACTAGCATATATAGTTTTTTATCAAGAAGAATGCAAATTTAAATATATCTTTCTTTTTTTAAACAAGGTATTGAATATAATAAAAAATAAAATATAACATTTTATTTTTATTATTATTAAAAATAATTTATTATAAAGGTTTTAGAAAAAAATTTTAAAAAAAAAAAGAAATTAAAAAGGAAAATTAAAAGCTATTTAAACATGATTTACTAAGATTATATTGCATATAATTTAATTAATTATGCTATTTTGATATACTTTATAATTTAATATGATTTATATTAATTTGTAATACTATATTTACATTTTTTTTATTACTTTTAATTTTATCAAATAGTATTTTTAATAAAATTTTGCTAGTAGAAAAAATTTTAAGTAGTGCAGGTATGATAACATCTTTTATATATATACTAGCTCTACTTAAGTTATATAAATATACTAAATTTATATGTATTGAATTAGTAATTATTAAGCTATTCAAATTTAAACATTGTCAATTTATTTATAAAATTATTTAAAAAATAATTTTATAAATAAATTGACAATGTTTAAATTTGAATAGTTTAATAATTACTAGCCTAATGTTTATGAAATTTGATACACTTATATAACTTAAGTAGAGCTAATATATATATATAAAAGCCATTATTATATTTACATTATTTAAAATTTTTTTTACTAACAAAATTTTACTAAATACATATTTTTGATATAAATTATATTACATAAAAAAAGACATAGATGATAATGATCAAATGGATGATATTAATCTCTAAGAAATCATATATATCTTATATGTATTTTATATCATCTATAACATATATTTCTTTTATACAATATCTTTTATTTCTTTCTTTTATTTATTTATGTTATATATTTATTATATTATATTTATTTCATATATTTTATTTATTTCTTTTATATCTTCGATAACCTTATGTATTTTATTTTATATAAATAAAGAATATTTTCTTTTAGTTTAGCAATATGTCTAACTTATAGTTTTATAAGATAGTTTAATTTAATTCCTTTAATATATTTGTATAGTATAAAGCGCTGACTGAAGCAATATTTCATTGTTATCATTATTTAATAAACTGTTAATTGACTGATATTCTTCTAAAACTAATTATAAAATAAACCTTCTGCTTATTATCTAAAATATTGCTTCGCTTATTACTCATAAGTATCTTAAAGAACTGGTTATAACAATTAATAATTTATGTAAAATTGATATTCTTAATTAAAAAATTTTCTAATATAAAATAATCTTCAAAATCTAAGAATTAAAAAATATATAAATTATAACTCTAACATTTATAGTTAATAAGTTATAGGGCTTTTAAACTTAAAAAATGACTATTTGCATTTCTTTTAGTAACTCTATATATTTTTTTTATCAATTATCAATTTTGTTGACTATTAATATTTTGAGTTCATTTTTATTAAAAAGTAATTTGTTAACAATTTATTTTAATATATTTATAGTTATAACTTATCTTATTCAGACTCTAAAGTTTTAATAATATGATTATAAGGATTTAATTAATCATAAAATATTACAAGTCTTTTTCAAAATTTAATATTATTTATAATATTAATTACATAATGATTTTCTATTCTTTCATTTATAATTAAAAGATTAAAATGGATAATTATTATAATCTAATAAAAAATAAAAAACTTAGTATTATTTGTAAAATAATTATTATAATTAGGGCGCTGACCTATATTACGTAATATTTTTGGGGGTAGTAGAAGCTTTTAAAAGATGCTTTATATTACACTTAGATATATATATCACGTGATCATTTGGCTTATGGTAATAAGCAAAAAATATTTATTAATACTACAATTCAACATATGCTTACTCTCCATCTAATACATATTCCCTTAATTCAAATAGAATGATATTTAATCATTGTGAAGGTAGAAGAGAAAAATCATCAAGCAGCTTATTCTAGTTCTTAGATTAGCCTTTGAGTCATTCTCGAGTTGCAGGGTATGCTGTTTTCTTGTGGTTCTTTAGGAAAGTAAGGGTAGAAAAGTACTTCTAACATGTAGAACAACAAAGATGAAAGTATGTGTTTTTTTCAAGAGACAGACAGTGAGCATTGTAGCCTAGGAATTTTAGACAATCATAATATTGGAATAAATGAATAGGATTCGTAAAGTGTCTATCATTAGCTTTTATAACAGGTGATAAGAAACTATTATAGCTTTCAAGAAATTCTATTGCTTCTTTAGCTCATGGTAGTTCACAACAACTTGTATCTTTACATTTTCTGATATCAATGGAATATGTGTATAAATTGTAATGTTTTTCAATTCAAGACCATAGAATAAAGCATTTGGAAAAGGTAAGTGCTTAATTCTTCTTTTTTGCATTTTTTTGGTTTTATTTTTCTTGTCTTTTAATTCTTCGACCTTTTCTTTTTCTATACCCTTAAATTCTAAATTTTTAAATGGATTTATAAATGTGTCAATATACCAAGCATCAACGTATTTTCCAAAAATTAAATTGTGACTCCAAATATTGCAAAGAGTCTCTTCAGCATATCGAAAATTTTGAGTAGCCAGCTCGAAATTCATAATATTTCCTTGTGAATCTAAATGTTTGCTAAAGTGATCAATTAGTAATATGATACTAGCAAGTTTGCCGGATAGTATTACCATGCCTCTTTCAACAGGGTTGTATTTAGATTGTCTTGATGCATGTGTTTGTACACTCAGGTAATCCAAGTCGAACTTTTTAAAAAGTTGACAGTATACCATTATGTTTTTCAAATGTCTGGGATTTTCGTCTGGCTCTCTATCTATTAATAATATCCAAATAGGTCGAATTTGTCTATTAGTCTTTAATGCATCATCATATTAGGAATTTAAGGTAAAACTTTCTAGATCCTGCATATGTGTTAGTGAGAATATACTAATAGGCTATTGGAAATGTGTAAAAATTGCAAGTTATCCTGTTCAAAGTTTATCTTTTAATTCATTTGATTTAATAATTAAATATACTGAAGGAATTAGTTTCTGCCTATACCCAATAGGAAAATTGTGATTAACTACGGATATAGATTCATTAATTAACTGTAAAGATTGAAATATTTAACCTACTGTAGGTACTCTAAGACCCACTTTTGCTTTATCGTCTTGAGAAACAATAACAGACAATTCAGCAAATATAGAAACAAATTGTCTTGCATATTTGACAGATGTAAGATAATAATGTACATCAGAATGCTCTTGAGTATCTATACGTGAAATTCTGAATATAGCAATCCATGTTAGATGATGATGAGCCTTAGTAGTAATCAAATTGGATTGGTGAGGTAAGAGATAATTCTTTAATATTATTCGTGCCATATAAATATTATATCTCTCCTTCAAATTCTTATGCAAATTTTCAATGATGTGCACCTTAACTACCTCTTTTAACCTTTTTAAATCAGTTGATCTAAACTCAACTGAGTTATAGATTTGATTATGTAGATCTAGATATTCGAAAAGTAATAGTGAATGGCCAGACTTATTATACTGAATTACCTCTTGATTCTCAATAAGTATTTTAAATTTTTTTGCTCTACAATTTTGAGCATATTTCACATTTCTTTTTAGTTTATTAATTTGTTCTTATTAGAACTAATTTTATATTCAGCTTTTTCTATTTTTATATATATATCATGCTGAATCTGAGTGTCGGTTGTGATGTTGTAAGTTTGTTTTAATTCAGCAAGATTTTCTTCAGTTATTTAATCTCTTCCGCTATCTTCCTTTGAGCTGTTGCATTCTTAGAAATTCTAGTATAGGTTCAACTGGACTAATAATGGGAAGGGAGAAAATTGTTTCTAATATAAGTTTAGGATGATTTGCTCTTATTATTGATATGTTATATGGGTGAATTGGAGTAGTGATGTATTCTCTAATTATATTATTAATTTCTGTAGCACTTTTGCTTTTAATACTTTTTCATTCTGTTGCTGCTTCACGGTAAAACAATAGCACAATTTGGAGTACTATTTCCCATTTTTATCATAGTACTATATATATAAGCATTAGTGAATTCCTAATACTTATTATCTAGCGAATTGTAAATTGATTTTTTATTAAATTTGAGGCCAATAAAGTAGGTTTGATGACTTATTTTTCAAAATAAAAGTAGACGTGTTTTTTGAGAACAAAACTTATTTTTTATTATAAAAGCGCGAAATATCAATACATTAAATTCTCTTTTATAAAACTTTCGTAGCTAATTATATTAAAATACAAGCCTTCTCGCAGTTAATTTATATTAAAACGGAAAAGCTACTGCAGCTAAATTTATTAAAAAGGGCAAACCATTCTTTTCATATCAAAATCCCACAGTTTAATTTATACTAAAACAGAAAAATTCCCATAACTAAATTTATTAAAAAGGCTTTCGTATCAAAATGCAAACCCCCGCAGTTAATTTATATTAAAACAGCAAAGTTCTGTCACTCTTTTCGTATCAAAACAGAAAAAAAGCCTCTGTTAAATAGCTTAGTTTTATGATGCAGATTTTTTTACCTATTGTATTGTTATAAATAAAAAGTCTAATGATTATTATCACGTGACTTGCCTTAGTTATCTTACGTGGTCAAGCTTTATATTAAATTGATATTACGTAATAAATGTCACTGCCCTTACAGGATATTGTATTTGACTAAAGGGGAGCAAAAGTAACGATTGATCCTATTACACATTATAAAGGGTTTGGTCTGTCCACAGAAGATAGTGATGAAGATCAACATGACATTAGATGTATTCTAATAAGGTGATACCGATTTTAGCCATCAAGGTATTTGTATCGTGATATTCTTTAGTAATCCATTACAGGTGATCTGCATAAAATAACTAATAACGGTAATAGAATCACGCAAATCACAAGACCAATTATGATAAAATTTAAATATCTGCAAATTTTTTTTTTTTATCGTTAACATAATAATAGCTATTATTTCATATTTGAAAACGTGCAAGAGAAAGGTTTCTTATAAAAAATTCCTAATCAACAACAAGTCATTAATCGTATCAGAACTTGCCGGTAGACATGGAAGAATCAGAACTCAATTTGGAAGAAAAGATTTATTAAGACTGCGGAGAAAATTGTTGGTGACAAAGAGCTGATTAATCAGGTGATGTATACATTATTTATAAAATTGTTGGCGAAAGATGTGAGCCACCTCAGCGGGTACCGACCCGTAAACTTAGCGAGTGGGTGCCTTCCCTAAACTCAGCATATGGTATGGGGCACAGGGTAACGATCACTGGCTTTCATCTTGTATTCTAACTGGTTCCGCCCCAAGTTGAGAGTGTATAGGATGACAAAAGGCGCTCCGGCAGGTGTCGCCCTGTATCCGTGTACCGCCTTTTCATCATCCTGCCAGAATTAATACTCCTATACAACAGTTTCAACAATTTTCTCAGTTTCTATTACTAATCAAAATTTTACCATAGCTTCAGGATGAGAAAACAAACGAATGTTTCTGGTTAGAGGTTGAAAATTCGCAAAAACTAGAAATTATTAAAGCAAGTCAAGTAAGGGAACTAAGTCGCAAGTGTTTCATTATGGAAATTTATTTATAACAATTTTTTTTTTCTTTTAACAGGTCAAACTTAAACGGAAAGTTGATTTAAAATCGGTTAAAATTTTCGATAGGTCAACTTCTCAACAGGGAGACGAAATTCTAGATCTTTATGACCCCCCCCCCTCAAAAGAAATTACGCTATGATAATGAAGCTGATGAAAGTGAAGCCGTCAGTGATCATGAAAGTGAAAATATTATGGGTAGTTATTTTTTTTTGTTTAATCATTTCGTATGGTTAAACCTAGAAAAAAAAAAAAATAATAAAGATTGTTTTCAAAGTAGATACGCTCCGCAAAAAACGCACAACAATTCGATCTAGAAGGGATCCGTGAAGATATCCGTGAAGATGTCCGCAAAGGGATCCGTGAAGATGTCCGCAAAGAGATCAGCGAAAAAATCCGTGAAGGAATCCGTAATGAAATCCGAGATGAAATTCGTGAAGAAATGTACGAAATCTGTAAAGAAATTCGTAAAGAAATTTGTAAAGAACTCCGTAGAGAAATTCGTAAAATCCGTGAAGCGCGAAATACCAGTGATAGATCTTTGGTAGTACAAAATCGTACACCCTTCAAGTTATCATCGTCAAAAATTTTAGCACAAAATCTACATTCTTAATTTTTAGTAATAATATATAAGTTAGCCATGTCTTTTTTTAACCAATTTATGCATGAAATGCGGGTTGTGTGTGAATTGTGGATAGATTAAATAATAATAGAGTTTCTTCTATAAATAAGTGTTCAATAATGTTAAAAAAAATAGAAACAAAAAGCGCGTGAGACCCATTTCATCAATAAAGCCGGAATTAAACTTGTGATATGTGTATCCATGTTCTGAGAGATTTCGCGGGAACGTTACACATTTATGAACATTACATAGATTAAGAGTAGTAAGTTCTTTACTAAATGGCAGACATCGAAGAGATCATTGACTTATATGCGGAAACACCCACTTTCCATCCTGATTATAAGCCTATTATAAATAAAATGCCACAAAGTCTAGTCAAAAGAGCTTTTGATCAATTACTTAATATAAGCGTAATCCTGTTTTACCAGAAGAAATTACAGAAAAAGTGATCGGATTGAGCAATATTTACGTCATAAATTAATTTTTTATGAACAGGCAAAAAATCGAAGGGCTTTTGTTTATAGTATGGATATTGGGATGCAGACAGAGAATAGTAGTTTCTCAGATAAAGCAATACAAACTGATTCCTTGGATAAAGCAAACAAAATAGAAGGTATCGATTTCTTAGAGCAAATTAAAAGGGCTAATATATTGTTAACTGATGCAATAAGCATTTTATCTAATATCTAATTTCTATATCATATATAATAAGTATATTTTTTTTTCTGGCTTTGAACTTGTGAGAAGCCGGGTGCGCAAAATATCTGAGTAAAATGTTCCATCCCGATTATAATTACAATACAGATAAACTCCCAATACGTATAAAAGATAGGGCATATCAAAGGCTCCCAAATCACTCGCACAAACCTATTCCTCTAAACTAGATTTCAGAGAAAAATAAACGGATAGAGGATTATATTTGCACTATACATTAGAGATTTACCAGAAATCATTAGACCAGAATCGCAAAACTAATGAACTTAAATTTTTATTTTCTTTCTTTGTTTAATTAGTTTCTTATTTTTTTTTTATTTTTAAATAAATATCATATAAATAATATGCTATCTATATAATTAATTTATAAATGTCCGTCTCAAAATAATTTATTCCCTTTATTAAAGTTTTTAATATAATTTTTTTTGATTATGATTTTAATATAACTTTGTCTTAAAATTTAATGAATTTTATCAGTCGGGTAAACAGGTCGACCTGACCTGACCTGACATTTTCAGGTCGGGTCAGGTCAGGTAAACAGGTCGACCTGATCTGATTCGGAGCTCTACTCTCAGGGAAAATAATGATATTATATAAATTATACTATTGATTAATAAAGTTTCTTTTAAAAAAAATTCTTACAAGGAGTAATTTCTTAAATAAATATAAAATTACTAAAAATAAAAGTGGTTCTAAACTTTTTGCACGGGAGTAGAATATATCTTGGCAGGGTTTATTAATAGATTATTTAAAAATAGAAACACAATCAAGGGCATTTACTATTTTTGCATACGTGAGACCAAAAAACATAATCTTTTAACGATATACTGAAGCTTTATTATTACGAATATTACGAGGCAATAAAATTATTTTTCACATCATTCCTGATACATGACGAAGATAAGTTACTGTATACCGATAATTTTACTCTCTTTTCTTGCGCGCGACGTCTCTTAGTCGCGGTTCTTCATTAACAGATACTTATCCTTTCAAAAATCCCATAAACACTTAAAGGCCTGTTCCTGTATATACGGGGGTGACCATTATTTTTATCCATCCAATAAATACCAGGTGGATCTTTCCTGCATAAATTATCATTAAAAATTGATCAATCAATTACTCCTTATTTCTTTTTTTTTTCTCTTAAAATTGATCAATCAATTATTCTCTATATTCTCTGTTTTTCTCTTAAAATTGATCAATCAATTATTCTCGATATTTTCCTTTTTCTTTAAGATGTCTCGTGCACGTACTTCAGGCGATATTTGGTGGGCAAGGATTTTTGATCTGCTTGACGAGCTTTTACATAACTATCCAGAATTACCAAAAAAATCGGTAACGGAAAGAAGGTAAGTGTATGGGAATATTACTTTATTACTTAAATACCACTTAATGTTGACTTTGTATGGAATGCAGTTTGCCTCTCCGCATTGGCTCTAAAATAATGATTGAAAATTATAACACCTTTCTTCACAATTACGGATCAAGTGGATACAAGTTCTGGTTTCAGCTAAGTGACGACAATAATACTGGCGAAGTATATATAATTGATATGGCCTCATCCGTACATGAGAATATTGTTGCCCGACTTCAAAAGTTTTTCGAAATTCCCAATAATGGAGTTGATGATGATCCTCTAATCATAGTCGCTGGACAAACCCGTAAGAGAATCTATTCTAGTTTCCTCTTGTTCTTGAATTTTTCAATATTCTCTTAATCTTTTCATATAGTTCACAATAGGCCTGGTGGAAATGGGGTTGAAGATGCTCCTGATGTTTGTGTAAGTCCAAGTGTTGCAATTGTTCCAAAACCTGCCAATTCCACTGTAGTACCTGTTCCTCCCGGTGATACAGATGTATGTTGAGTTTGATGTGTATTATTGTATTTTGTTTTATATGTGATTTTCATTATGTAGGGTAATCCTCATGCACGGATTATGTGTAAGGTAGCTGTGGGACAAGCTTGTGGTAGATTAGGACAAAAGTGCTTAACTTGGATGCAAGAGCGATATGTCCGTGCGGTCGTTAGTATCAAGATTTTAGAACCAAGACAAAACATGCAAGAACCCACGACCGGTTATTTTTATAGGACAATGACGGTATATATTACTTATTGTTCAATGATACAAAGTTAAGCATGTAGTTTCTTATCTGATTAGTTTGTTTTTTTCAATATTAGGCCAAACTGTACCGTCAAGGAATGCCAACACAACGTTGGGACTTTGGAAACATTAAGAAATATTCACGTGATCCTGTCAATGATCCTCCCGGTTGCAATGCGCCAAACTTGCCAGCTTTCCAAATCGCTATACCTATAAATGAAACATTTTGGGACCCACCGTCTCCTATCCCACCTGCATATGTTCCCGTATTTCCGGTAAACATAATTGGTAACAATTTTGTTATTGACTTGTACCGGATCCAACGAATCGCCTTAAAATCTCGAACACCCTGAAATGGAAATTCTTACAACTTCTTTATAAATACAAATTAATTATTAAATAAAGTTTACTCCCGCATCTAATCTTATTGCTAAAGTAGTATATCGTAAAAATGAAATAGGATTGTCCGTTTTTTATTTTCAGAAATTTTTTTAGTGATATTATGCAGTAAATAGGAATAAAAGTTACAGGAACGTTTTATTCATGCCATGACAGCGTGATGATACACACAAAAATAAATACAAATGATCGGGTCTTAGCCAATAATACAATACATTATGACGCTTCTATGCAAATAATATACATTGATTATTCTTTTTCGAAATGAAGAATTACCAAAGCAACCATTATTTAATTCTCAAACTGTAAGTCAATCTAAACAGCACTTGAAATTTTCATGAAAAATTAATAAAAATATATATTAAAGATGTAGTATATAAAAAATTAAAATAAAAAATATTGGTAAATTTTAATAGTAAAATTAAACCAATCAAAATTGATCTTTTTATTGATAATTAGGAAATGATCGACATAAAAATTGATAATCATCTATTCACTTCTCGTCTGAAAATAATTATTTCGATCGTGCTCCTTCCAAATGGTGTATCTCGGGGTTTCTTGACGAGTCGGACATTGAACCATTTGATTTAAAAGTTAATTTCTACATAAAATCTCTTGAAGCCAATTTTGACTGTAAACAAAGCGCTCAGAAGGAAAGAGTACAAGTTCTTCTTGATAGCTATAGAGAGGTAAGTAAATTGTTTTTTACTTAATTTAAGTCGGAAAAAAATGACGTGACAGGGGCTTACTGGGTCATCGCCATTCAAGGTTATTGGCTGAGTCACAAAATTAGTACTGGAACACAAGTGGCTTACTGGGTTACCTGTTTTTCAAGGCTACTAACTGATCCAGTACTGATCCCACTGGATAATAGGTGGCTTACTGGGTTGCCTGTTGTTTAAGGCTACTGACTGATCTGGTAGGATGAAAAGTTGGAAGATGGATGAATATGTCATCTTCTTTTTAGTATTTTTTTATATAACTTTAGTAATCAGTTTGTCTTTTTTTAGTCATTTCTATTATATTTTCTTTTATATTCAGCAATGTACAACAGTATTTCCATATATTTTCATAAAGTTTATCCATAACAATAGGATAAAATTGGAAGTGATTGTTAAACATTTATTCCTATTTCTAGTGATCTTATGAATTGCTTCAGTTAATGACGTAATAAACAATTTGATAATATTGGTATATCTTTCAATAAGCTTGATAAAATGTGTTAAAAAAATCAGGTAAATAAGATGAAAGTTCTGGATGCTCATAGTTTTTAAGAAGTTTAATAAGATGATCTTTATTTAGATTAATAATGTTTCTCATTTCCCTAAGTAGAATGGATAAGTTCATATGTGTGACAAAGTTTTTTTTTCATTGTTATAATCAATACACTTCCAATATTTATAAAGGCTTAGACAAAGATAGGAAGTTTATTGATAAGGTTATTAATTATAAATGTTTTGAGTCAAGAAGAAGAGAATAAAGTGATCATAGGTGATGAATCTATAGAAAGTACAGTCTAAATTAAGAATGTTAACTGTTAAAGATAAACTGGTTTTAAACTAATTGTATAACTGAACTGATTTGGTTTGGTTTCAAAATTAAGAATCACAATAAATATCAGTTTTTATCACGTGATTCAATATGGTTAGACCATTAGTTCAACTAATAATTTAACTGAATTTTCATCTGCAATTTCAACTATAGTTAATAACTTATTTAGAAGAATCTAAATAATAAAGTTTTTATCATTATTTATCTAAAAAGAATTCAAAAAAGCATTAGTT